CTGAGCTACTTGCCTTAATCTCGCTCCTTGGAATGCTAGTAGTAAGATTACATGCGCTCGAAGCTGCATCAGTGAGTGATACTCCGCCATGGCCATCACTCTCGTGTAGATCCGCTCTACCGAGCTCTCTCGTGCTTTCAATCTCATCTGGTCGATTATTTAGAGCATTTGAGACAGCATCTGCCATCTGAACGCCCTTCTCGTGCTCACTGTTAGCCGCTACATCCACCTCGCCTCCCACGAGTCCAATAGACAACTCAGAATTTGGCTCGCTAACCAGCTCCATTGTCTTGGATGTAGCCATTTCGTGGTTCAAACTGTTGGCATAGTCCACATCCTGGTCATCACGTCGGGTAAAGTGCAGTGACTCGAGGTCCTCCTCATCTACAGCACCTTCGTGACGGTCTTTGTAAACTACATCTTCAGCAACCCGTAGATCAGATACAAACCTGGCGGTGTGCTCATCAGGAAAGTAAACTTTGCAGCCTACCACGTCCTCTTCGTAACCGAGTAGAAAGCCAATCTTGGCGTTGTTATCATGCTTGCGTCTTCCAGACGTCACAGGAACATGAACATATGCTAGAGATCCAAACTTCCTAATGTGATGCACGTCAGGTTTCATTCCAAATATCATCTCATAAGGAATTCCTTGAGTGCCACGGTTGTATACCCTATTCTTGACGTATACAGCATTTCGTAGTGCTTCCGGCCATAGACTCCGAGGAAAGCCTGCATGTACCATCGTGGTTTTCATCATGTCCACCAATGACTGATGCGTTCGTTCGCACAAGTTCAATTGAGAACTTTTTGGACCCACTCGGATGTGCTCAATTACTCTCCGTGCGTACCAGTTTTCCATACCTTTGTTGATGAACTCCCCACCTTTGTCTGTCAGTACTTGCTTCACTTTGTAGACAGTCCCGTTCGCATTTCGTCCTGCTTGACGCTCGGCCCAGAGTATGTACTGTTGCAAGTGCTTGTTTACAACTGAACTCTCTTTACTAGTCAACAGGAACACTCTCACGAATCTGGAGTATCCATTCATAAGGGAAGGAAAATCAGTAGCAGTAGCGAAGCCTCAGGAAGCAACTTGGGGGGTTTCTGGGACTACATCCAGGTCAAACAAGCGTGAAAGAGCCTGTTAATCGGCGTCCAATGGTAAATTTTACTATAGCCGAAGGGGTTGGCACTTGGCGTTGTGGCACGAGCGTATGTGTCATACTTGTCCACAATATTTGAAGACGATGGTAGACCGGGGATTAGTGAGAGGCATGATGTTGACTCAGCGTCACCAGCAGATCTGTGACGCATGTCATGTGGGGAA